GTTGTTAGATTGGTGTGGGTGCTTCCTCCTAACAACACCCCTCGGATCTCTGTCTCGACTGTCAACCAATTTTGACGAAATTTTCCCTCAATAAAACTTTGCGAATTTTACAAAATCCGTTCGAGAATGGTATTAGCTAGCAACACAAGAATGGAACCAACCAAGCAGCAAGCGCATCAGATGCCTGATGTATAGCAGCATCCAGTAAAACACATTCGGTTGTCACGCCATCAGCGGTTAGCGCAAAGAAGTCGGGCCGGAAGCCAACAGAACGATACTGCACATGCCGAGCACCGAAATCCTCGGAGATACGTTGCACTGCTGCTCCGTCGGTTATCTGATCCACCACATTTCTGAGATAGCTGCGCAACGAATCGGTCAGCTCATAGCGTTGCTCCTGTAGTGAAGCATTGCTTCATGCGAACTTTTACAGCCAAGGGATGAAACACAGACTGCAAACTTACTTGATTCTTTTGAACATGTAATTTTCAAAAAAACCTTACTAAATATTTTATACTTTTATGGTTTTCGTGCAAAAATTTTACTCTTATGGATTTTTCAAATAGAGTTCCCGTTCGCTTTTACTCTAATAGTCATTTTTAGGAAATTTCCCACTAAAAAAATTTTCCGAAAAGTGATATACACTTTTTTCATAACTTCTACTAATCTTTTTATCTTTTTCTAGTCACATTAGGCGAGCCCCTTCTGACTTTTATTTCTGGATCGAACGGCCTGGCACAGTTGCATCCATTCGAAGGGTCTGGAATAACACTGCACTAGTAGCACTGGATACCCACACTAATTTTCCGAGCGGTCTTGTTATTATTGAGATAAATAGGTTATGACTCTCCCGTAATAAATCAGTGATCGAAGGCTTACATCCGAAAGAGCATCCACAAAATTCCGGAAATCATCACGTTTTTCGTAGATCCGTCGATATATCCTTTCCGCAATGTCATCTTTTGCTTTATCCATACATCCTTTCACGATCTGTCGATGTGCTAAAGGCAGTGCTGAGAATTTTCTTCCCTGACTGCTTACACTTGGCCTACAAAAACTTATTTTTTTAAAAAAAATCCAAATTGTTTTTTTGTGGGTAATAAAGGTTACGATTACAAAATCTAGGACACTTCAAGAAGGGCCTAGCATAGTTTCCCTTAGCATATGATTGCACCTTAGGATCATCAAAACCAGAGAAATCTTGGCGATCAAATTGATCCATCACATGTTCTTGTTGAAATTGGCGGGTTCAAAACATTTCAAACTTCGAGAGCTTTTGCGGAAACTTGTTGTTGTTTTCAGAAGCATCTCTCTGGGTGGAGATTTAGCAAGAGGAAGAATGAGGGAATGAGTTAAAGCAGCAGCTTCCCAGTTCCTATTTCCGCTAACCCATTTCTCCTCTTTCGGAAACAAACAGTGCATATTTTCACCGTATTAGCACTACTCTTCA